GCCAGGAAAAAGCCCTGAGAACTACCAGGTGTGAACCAAAAACAAACAACTTGATGAATCAAATACAAAAAGATTCAAATTGGTAGAAAAATCTGAACAAAGGAAGTCACAACTCCAAACATATACCTAAGAGTGAGGAGGAAGCAACAGCCACAGACTCCAACAAGGAAACAAGAAAAAAAGAAAATCACAGGTTTCGAGGACCAGAATAGGAGATTATTCTCTCAGGGATTAATGAAGGGTTTGTATAAACAGGTACTTGGGGTCAGACTCCTTCAAACCAAACCTACCTCCAGACAAAAGTAACAGCCTATGTAAAGAGCAACCTGCCTCAGAGAAGCAAGGCCAATAGCAATTGCTGGAGGTACAAAGTAGCAGGTTACCAGTTAATAGCCCTGCTTGCCTGCACCATTACTGACAGTGTCCCTGTTCATTGAAGGCTAGAAAGAGAGCACAATGCTTTGCATGCAAGGAGCCTGGGTTTGACCCCCGGCACCAGACAGTCCCTCAGCACTACTAGATGTGGCCCCAAACCAACCCAAAAAAAGAAAAGAGTGCTTGCTTAATTAAATTATATAGTCACCTTTCTAACTAGAACCCTCTGAGTTAGCAGAGGAAAAATTCTTGTTAAGATTGTTCTTTACCCAACCCCCACTCCTTACATCCAAATTCCACACAGGAGAGTAGCAGCAGCAGCAGAGAAAGAAGTCCATGTCCATTATCAAATTAGATCACCTTCTGGGAATGCTTAGGTAACAATGAGTAACCAACAACCACAAGACAATTTTCTTTAAAATAAATAAATAAATGGGAGAGGGGCACATGGGGACCCCAGAGTATAGGGAGAAGAACAGAAGGAAAGAAATGGAGGCATGAGTAAGAAGAGGTGTATGGGAAGTAATGGGGAGCAGGTCAAGGACTTCAGTTACACTGGTGGCATAGAGGAGTGGTACACCTATATATCCAAACCAGAGCCAGTTACACTGAAAGCAGGAAGGAGACAACACCAATTCTTAAATAGGCCTGTCAAGGAGACTGACTGGGGGGTAGGAGGGAACCTGGGGACACTGGGAGAGGGAAGTTGACACTGGTGGTGGAACTAGAGCTAGAACATAGTATGCCTAAAATTTAACTAAGAATAACTGTAAATGACAGAGTTTTAATAAAAAGATTTTTAAAAGGGGAAGTGGGGGTAAGCCAGAAAGGATAGTAGAGAGATTAAGGCAAACCACAGATGGTTGTCTCCCCACTCAATCCCACAATCCAAACCCTACCCCACACCACCAGGAGTGATCCCTGAGCACCGCTGGATGTGTCCCCACCACCCCCCCCAAAAAAAGAGGGGCAAGCGGGGGACTCACAGGGCTGGAGCACATGACTGGTATATGAAATGCCCCAAGTACAATCCCAGATACTACGTGGATTGTCTGGTCCGGCTGTAGCCTTATGGCTCCTCCGTACCGCCTAGAGTAAGTAGCTCTGCTTCCCCCTAGTTCTGCTGGGTGTGGCCCCTATTTTTAAAAGAAAGCAAAACAAGATGACCAGTATGAATAAATAAAGCAAGTGACCAGATAAAATTAATAAAGATATTTGAGACACAGAACTTAAATAATTATGTAATATATAATGCTTCCCCTCACAGAGTTTTGAAACTCAAATTCCAATAAACAACCTCAAGCTGCTACCAACATGTATAACAAAGCAGTAAGTACAGTGCAGTAATTAGGAGAAAGGACTTTAGGACCAAATGCCTAGATTCATACCTGAGCTTTACCTCTTACTGCTGTATAGACAATTTACCCTCCCACCACCTTAATCTCTTATCTGTAAAATGGGAGATAATTCAAATCCATATATACTACTGCAGATAATAATTTAGATGATACATGTAAAAACACACTGAGAAAAAAATACCTATATACTCAATAAATGTTGGTAACTATTATTACTATTTGTCCAAATTTTATATATATATGTATATACATATATTTACTAAGATACATTAATGGAAAATGCTGGATTAAACTTTCAAGAAATTTCTCAATAGAAAAAAAATATGCAAAAAGAAAGTTAAGACAAAGACCCAATCCAAGGAGGTTGGTAAAGGGATTAATAGGACTTAAAAAGATGGGGGGAAAGGAAGGCGTGAGTGGGAGAAATAATGAAAAGGGGAGGAGGGCATAAAAATGGGGGATGAAGAGAGTATAAAGGTTAAAGCCCTCCAATCTTGGTTCAAATCCTCAGCAGTAATATGGTCCCCCAGAATACCACCAAGAATGATCCATACACAGAGAGCCAAGAGTAAGCCTTGAGTACAGCTGTGTGTGGTCCGAAGAAGAACAAAAAGAAAGAATTATGAAAACTAAAAACAGTTTAATCAAAAAGTGTCAAAGGTCAGGCTAACTACCAATGAAAAGGAGGTTTTTCTCCACATCTAGCATGAAGCCCCTGGAAGGAAGTTCCATGAAAGATGGAGGGATGTTTTAGTTGGAACTCTCCATCCCTGACATGACTCATGAAACCAACATTAGTGCTGGCCAAATGGATTCACTTCTTCCCAAGGTGAGAAGAAACCAGAAACCAGAGAGCTCTTGGCTTTCTTAACTGGAACCATAACTGTTGCTGCTTTCTTTACAGGACCATTACAAAGAAAATGGAAGAAACCTACTCAAAAGATTTTATCATCATCATAGTAAACGAATATATATAAATCCACCAAAAGTCAAAGGAATGGATTTGAAATTGCACTCTCATCTGCAACATATGATACTAGAAGATAAAGGAGAAATACATTCAGTGTTCTGAAGAAAAAATTTCCTAGTCCTTCATACTTTCTAGACATCTATACAACATAGAATGTCATACTTTATCAAATATACATTTAAGTAAATGAGGACATTTGCTAATATTTTGTTATTTAGAAGAAAAAAAAAGCAAAGAAACCAAACTTAAAATTCTGTGCATCTAGAAGCCCTTCATTAGCTCATTAACTAATGTTCTATACCAAAGTTCCCAATCTTTCTTTCTCACCTTGCAAAGAAGGATGAGCCTGAATTTACCACTAGCCCCAACTGGAACACAGAGTTAATGTGCACAATTTGCAACCATATCTTAGTATATTTGAATCACAAAATTTAACAAATTCGTTTAATTCATCCTAAAAGCCAGTAAGGAAAAGATTTTCTAAAATACATTCCTCTGGTTTTAACAAACTTAAAAGCAAATGAAGAACTTTGTGCAGTCCTTACTCTAGTTTAGTTTCATGGGTCTTTTATTGTTGTTGTTTTGTTTGGGAGTCAGACCCTGGTGCTCAGGGCTTACTCCTGAGACCCTGATTTCAGCGTACCAGGCAAGCAACTTACCATCTCTCCAGTCTTAAGCTTTTTTCAAATATATAAAGATTGCTCTACTTCTTTTATTAGTTTGGGGATGTTTGTTGTGGAAAGGGGGGGGGACACACCTGGCAGTGTTCAGGAGTTACCCCCCACTCAGGGCTCAGGAATCACTCCCACCTAGTGACTATGCCGTGCCTCTCCTTGAACATAGGCTTCCCACACGCAAAGCAAGAGCTCCAAGAACTTTATGTGATCCCAGGTTAAAAAAAAAAAACAGCATGTAAACTAGTCCAGATATATTCTGATCCTTCTGATATAAATGTTCTGTCCAGCAGTTATGCCTATCCCTACTTCAAAATTCAGGCAATCGTTTAGTAAACTTGGAGTTGTTTTAAAATTCCTATTATGTTTACTTTTGAGCTTCACACTAAGAAGTACTGATTTCAGAGATTTGAGATTCTGCACTTCCTGTATTTTACTCTGTATGTAACATAAAAGCTACTGTCTCAACCACTTTCAGGCCGACAAGTAAGTTAGTGACAATAAGTCAACTTACAGAGCTGTGCAAAGTCCCCAGAACTTTCCATCTTTCCTAGCTGAACTTCTACCTCCCGGTTCACTCGCTCTCCAGTCCCGGGGGTTTGCTCTGTTCTTTGTGGATCTGACCAAGCAGAGGGGATCTGACACCAGCACCAAATCAAGGCACCATCCTTCCACTTTTGCCTTGGGGCCGAACATACACATAGTGGATCAAAGAGGGCTGTTTTCTCAATCTTTTGCACACCCAAGTGCCAGTATTTGATCTCAACACAGATTAAAAAAAAAAAAAAAATCTGACGGAGGCACCGAGCTGGAACCTCAAGTAGCCATAAAACTCAGATCCTGGAGGCAGCACCCTTTAAATGCAGGCCGAGAACTGGCCCCCTTCCGTGAAGTTCCCTGAAGGCTAGGAAGAGCTTGGTCGCCAAGCCTGACTCTCTCTGCAAAGACCCCCAGCAAATCCACCGGCCGACGCTCGGGCGCTGTTCCTGTCCTCTCGACTCCCACGCCCCCTTCTCCCTGCACCCAGCCGCACCCAGGAAGAGGAGCGCCCGAGTGGGAAGCGACCCGGCCGGGCCCCGGGAGTAGCAGCGGCCGCGCGCCCCGGTCCCAAGAGGTGCGCGGAGCGTCGGACCGCCCCCAGTCTACGGCTCCGGGTGCGTGCGCCCACCTGGTGGATGCCCTGAGCCCGGGGACCAGGGCTGGGAACCCGGGAGGGGAAGAAGGGGGGGACCCGAGCAGGTGTCCTGAGTCCTGCGGGCGACCGGGGGGAGGGGCTGCCCCGCGGATCCATCGCGGAGCGGGGACGGGCCACCTCAGAGGTCACACACAGGTTACGAGGGGCCCCGGGGGATCCCACCCCGCCCTCCAAAGGGTGCAAAAGCTGAAATCGGATCCTGCAAGACCCTAGTTTAATGCCACGGCCCGGATCGGGGCTGTCGGAGGCAAATTCTAACCGAGGTCACCAACACCCCACCCACCCGCCCACCCACCCACCTACGCCCAAGTCGGGTCAAGGACCGGTGGGCCAGGCGCCGATCTCTGAGCCTCGGCTCAGCCTCGGGTTCGAGGTCAAGAGCGGCGAGGACCCCTCCTCCCCTCTGCCCCGGCCGGCGGCCGCCGTACCTGAGTGGACGCCAGCGTCTGCTGGAGCTGCTGCTGCTCCTCGCTGATCTTCTGCTTCAGTTTCTTGAACATGGCGCTGCGCGGGGGTGGGCGGGGGGTCCTGAGTAGAAATGAGACCTGAGGGGCGGGTGCCCGGGGAGGGCCAGCGGCCGCGACACCGGCGGCTCCGTCACAGGAGAGACCACCGCGGGGGCCGGGGTTCGCGGCCGCCTCCTTCGTTCTGCGGGCGGATCAGGACGCGCGTCCAGCGGGTGTCGGCGTCGCCGCCGCCGCGTCTCTTGCTTTCGGGTGCCCCTGGCTGGCCTCGGCCCTCCATCCAGCCACGGCGGCGGCGACGGCGACAACGGCAGCAGGTGAGCGGGGCCGGGGGCGCCTGCGCGGCCGACGTGGAGCTCGGCCGCCCGCGGAGCGCTACGGAGCGCCGTGGGGGACACGCGCCTGGCCGGGCCCGCGCATGCGCGTCGGCAGCCGCGGCGCGCGCTGCCTCCGATGGGGCTGCGGCCGGGCGCCGGGTCACCGCCCGGCTCTTCTGCTTGCGTGCTGTCGGACCGCAGCCGGCTGCGGCCGTTGAGCGCGGCAAGACTCACCCGAGTCCCGCAAAGCCTCTCGTGTGCAAGTGCGTGCGTGACGGATGGGAGAGGGCACCAGGAACTTGTCTTGGGCTCTGAGCGCTGTGTCTGGTACCGCGGCTGGGTCTTGAGGCCGAAAACTCCTCCCGCTGCTCCCGGTAAGGGTACCGGTTCCTTGCACGCTGCAAAGGATGCGGAAACACCAGCTCTGCGGCTCCCAGGATCCACAGAATGGTTTTAGGCTTCCTTTGCAAGACCTTAGGCTTCCCGGAGTCTGTTTTCATTTGCTTCCCACAAAATGTGTGTATTTTCACGTACTCGTTTTCAGAACCTTGGTTTATCATTGCTAAGAGCCAGTAGCTTGGGTACGTTGAAAAAGCACACTACTTAGAAGTGGATAATACAGAGGTTGAGGTGCTTGCCTTGCTCGCAGCTGACCCGATTTCTATCCCAAGCACTACATTGGGTCTCCAGAGCCCCTTCCTCCTGGAGTGATCCCTGAGTGCAGGAGTAAGTCCTGAGCAGCTCCATGGGGTGTGATCTAATATGTTTGTTTTGTTTTTGTTTTGCTTTTGGGGGTCACACCTGGCGATGCGGCGATGTCCAGGTGTTACTCCTGGTTCTGCACTCAGGAATTACTCCTGGCGGTGCTCAGGGGATCATATGGGACGCTGAGAATCGAACCCAGGTGGGCTGCGTGCGAGGCAAATGTCCTAGCCACTGTACTATCACTCTATCCCCGATCAAATACTTTTCTAAAAAAAAATTAACGGGCTGGAGAGATAGCATAGCGGGTAGGGCGTTTGCCTTGCATGCGGCGGACCTGGGTTCGATTCCCAGCATCCCATATGGTCCCCCTGAGCACCGCCAGGAGTAATTCCTGGGTGCAGAACCAGAAGGAACCCCTGAGCATCGCCGGGTGTGACCCAAAAAGCAAAAAAAATAATTAAGGAACTCAAAATTTAGTATAAAACACAGATTCACAGAAGACCCAAATGTACCCTTAAAGTGTACAATTCTGAGATATTATGTGCCCAGTGCAGCCAGTGCCCAATGCAGTCAGTGTCTTGGCGTTTAGGTTCTCTGTGAGCATTCAGATTCATCTCTGCAAACTTTTTTTCTGCGTGCTCTGCCTCCCTGCTTCTCCACACGTGTGCCAGACCCTGGGAGAATGTGCCCGCACTATGCTAATTTACCAGCAATTATGAGAACAAAATTGCTTTCTCAGAGTCCATAGCCTGACTCCTGAATGGAGTAGAGCCAGAGCGTGGCAGGTCTGAACACTGCGCAGACACCCTGCCGGTGCCCTCCCTCTTCCAGCTGTGAGTGTTGTACTTACCAAGAGGTGGGTGTGGGTTTCTTAGCTCTCCCCTCCCTCCAAACTAAAACTCATAGGCTTCAGCTGCTGCCAGACACCAGATGCCCAGTATTTATCCTCACCCAAAAAACATCCACTTAGAAACAAAAGGTTGCCAGTTTTCTATTGAGCCATCGGAACATACATGTGTACATACATACTTATATGCGTATACACATAAGTAGGCGCCATCAGAGCAGCATAATTAAGTGAATAAGAGGTCAGAAGTGAGGCTCAGTGGTGTAGCTCAGTATACGCATCACATGTCCCTGCCCTGGGTTGGATCCCTGGCAGCAAAAAAAGAAGAAATCTGATATATATCTTAAAGAAAAGACCAGAGAGAACTAATTATATGGAAAAGGGATAATCTTAAAAAAAAAAAAAGGGAAGAGGGAACAGGCTTGAAAACATTTGTCATTTTGTTGAAACAAGTCTCTACTCTCTTGTCCTCCTATGACTTCAGGACTCTAAAATTAACATTCTCATTATCTGTTTCTAATCACACCATTAAGTTACTCTTTTTTTTTTTTTTTACTTTATTTGTGGGATTTTGAGTCACATCCAGTGATGCTCAGGAGTTACTCCTGGCTCTGCACTCAGGAATTACCCCTGGCGGTGCTTGGGGGAACATATGGGATGCTGGGAATTGAACCCGGGTCAATCACGAGCAAGGCAAATGCCCTACCCACTGTGCTATTGCCCCAGCCCCTAAGTTACTTCTCAGCCACCCCTGGATACCACGAATGTGTATACAAACCAGCTTCTTAAAGCCCGAAATAGCCCAGCTGGAGAATTCAGCCTTCCCTAGTTCCCATGTTCACTAGCAGGGCACTATTCTTACCAGATGCTTCCGGACTCACTCTCCACTACTGGACTATTGCAGTGAGTTTGTGACAAATCCTAACAATCTTAGGAATTTATTTCCCTAGTGGAATTAGTACCTATCTTTTCTACATAGAGAAAGTCTTCCCAATTATAAACCAAATCTATCACTCCTTCACCCTTTCCTATGGCAAATACTATCTCCACTTCCATGTTTCAGAAAATTTCAGAATAACTATCACTAGGGACTTTGATTAAAAAAACAATATTATGTATTATCCAATTTACTTCCCAAGCCTTAGGTAATATGATGGTGTGTCAAAAAGAAAAAAAAAAAAAAACCTCTAGTCAGAATAACCAATATCTGCCAGAACTTTGAACTCTAGCCTCCTACCCTCTGGCCTTACTTGTTAAGTACTTTCATATCACGACTCACTTCTTAACCCTTAATCCTGGTACCTGATATGAGGTATGGTAAACCTCATACAACAAAACCAGCTACCTAAAGATAGTAAGAATTTTTTTATCTTTCAAACATGAAAGAAAAGGGAAGGTAAAAGATAATGCAAACCCATCCTGAAACATTTTTAAGTCATTTTAAACCATTGTGTCATAATGGACTCAGCTGTATAAAAAGATGAAATCTTGGGAGGAAACTTTTGGTTTGGTTTGGCTTTGGTTCTTGGATCACACCCAGTGGTGCTCAGGGATTTCTCCTGGCTCCACACTCCTGGATCACTCATGGTGGTGCTAAAGGTAATAAGGTAAAGGCCCTCCCGTTGATCGTCGATTTGCTCGAGCGGGCCCAGTAACGTCTCCGTTGGAGACTTTGTTGTTACTGTGTCTGGCATATCAAATACTCTCGGTAGCTTGCCGGGCTCTCCGAGAGGGGCGGAGGAATCGAACTCGGGTTGGCCATGTTGGCCGCTTGTAAGGCGAACGCCCTACCCGCTGTGCTATCGCTCCAGCCCCCAATGGTGGTGCTAAATGGACTATATGGAATGCTGGGGATGAATCCAGATTGGCCACATGCAAGGTAAGTGTTCTACACACTGTTCCATCTCTCTGGTCGAAAGGAACTTGGGAACACTGGTGGAGGGAAGTTGACATTGTATTGGGATTGGAGCTATAACATTATGTATCTAAAACTAAACTATCAGTAACTTTGAAATAAAATTTTAAAAAATAAAAGATGGAATCTTTCAGTTGTCTGCAACTTCGATAGAAATGAAAGGTGTCATGTCGTAAGTCAGAGGGAGGAAATCTGTGATATATGGAGAAACAGAATAAAGGAATATACAATGCCAAATGATGACAGATCTTTGGCCTTGGATTATAAAAGAGGTCACTAAGCAGAAAGGGACAGGGCTAAGGAAGAGGCCAACAATAAGTGATGTAGGAGAGTGTGGTGGTGAAGGTAGAAGAACTTTATACATCAGAATCATAAAGTTTACATTGTAACTATGTTACCTAAACAATTTAGTTCTTGTTTGGGGGCCATGCCTGGGAATACTCAGGTCTTCCTCTACATTCAGGAATTACTCCTGGCAGTGCTCAGAGGATCATATGGGATGCCAGGGATTGATGCCAGGTCAGTCTCCTGCAAGGCGGGTGCCCTTCCCACTGTATCATCACCCCAGCCCCCAAAACTACAAATTAAAAATGAAACTTTAAAACAAAAGCTATTGTAACAAGAGCCAGAGAGATAATTCAGCCTGTCTGGCATGCTGCAGACCTGTGCAATTCCTAGCACCTCAAATGGTCCCCTCCACCAAGCACCACCAAAAACGATCTCTGCCCAGAGCCAGGACTAAGCCCTGAGCACAACCAGTGTGGACCAAATCCAGCCTCACTCCCCACCCTCAAAAGAAGCTAAATTAAAATACCAAGATCCAAAATTATGATTTTTTTAGAGATGAAATGTAAATAGTAGTACACAGTGGCCGAGAAATGTGGTTAAAAGGTAAACTATATGCCTTACATCTATGAGGCCCTGGGTTCTCTTTCTGGCACCATGCCAACAATGATAACCAAAAACAAAAAACCTGAAGTACATATGCTTAAAATTCAATGATTATAAAGACAGAAGCTAATAGAATGAAAAAAAGATGCATCACATCCTTATGTGTCTGATATGCCATGTGTCAGAAGTTCCCCTGGTAGCAGATTAAGATTTGCTTACAGGATTTTATTGGAATTTTGGGATACAGGTGACATTCTTATCTTGTGTAAAGCATCTACCCTCAACAGAAGGCAAAAGTAGTAGATGTGAGCCATCCCTGTCCAGACTACCAGCTACTGGGGGCATGAACATATCAATCTTGAAAATACTGAACAGTGCACTAGAGATTCCACTAAACTATGCAAACATGATTCATAAGAAAACAGGTAGGAATATAATTTAGGCTAAAGTAGACTTTAAGAAAGGATGATTGCAAAATTAGAGAACATTTTAAAATAACAAAAGGATAACTTATGAAGAAGAAACAACAATCCTAAACTGCATATACCTAATAACAGGTAGATCAAGCAAAAAACTTGACAAAACTAAACATGTAAAACTTACCCCTTATAATTGAAGATGTTATTCTTTAGGTAAAGGTAAAGGCCCTCCCGTTGATAATCGATTTGCTCAAGCGGGCCCAGT